TAAAAGAACAGCGTATTCGTGAAGTAGTCTTAGTAGTTTGAAGGTCTTTTACAATGACATCATTCATTTTTAGAACAATTTTTATTTCAGTATAGTTTTGTAGCGTGGTTCAGAAAATGGGTGATATATGTGATTTGCATACTTGCTTATTGTGTCTTAATTTGTATATGTTTTAACAGTTACTGTGAGTAGAATTATTGGCGATGTTCCGCCTGGGAGGGGCATTTTGCACTTTCGCTAGTTCCCTTTGATCCTGTAAATTATTGTGAAGCTGCGAAATAGTAGCAGTGAGCCTTTTTGGTTACAATAAATAACAGATCTTCACGAGGAGGCCATAGAAGCTTCGCTGGTAACCATTTCCTGTCCCCTCCCGAGCCATGTAGCGGTGTAAAATATTTATTTTTTTCACTTATTCGTCTCTGCTTACCATTAACCACTTTATCCACTTGCTTGTCTTTTTATTTCAATTTGTTTATTCATTAGTTTACTCAGTCATTTATTTCTTAGTCATTTATTTATTGGAATGATGGCCATTTTGAGAATATTTTCAACCCCTCAGAGACTCACCGTTCACCCAACATCAGTGCGAAGGTTCAGAGATCGTTTTATCGTCTGGGTTTTAGGACCCCCTCCCATATAGTCATTTTTGGAGTTAGAATGTTTTGGAGTAAGTTGTGCGCAGTATCGCCCTGCCACCCTTCCCCATCCCCCCCCCTTCCCAAAAACTGAAGAAGATACGAAAACTAGTGAGAACTCCTTTGCAACCTGCTTAAATTCGCCAGTTGTTTGAGGGGAATCGAATCCCCCTTGTTCATTTTGAAGCGACGTGGTGTTGCAAATGACGTCACTTGCGCGGAATTCACACCATGGCCTACTTGTTTTATTGTAGAACTACTGCAGTATGTCGAATGAGGGAAACAGTGGCTAGTTTGTGTACATCATCACCCTGCTCTCCCCTTCCTTGGATTCGTCATTTTATCGGTTTCTTGAAAGGGGGCAGCTTTTGTTCCGATTCTCGATTTCCGATCGCTGACGCCTAGAAAGGAAATGGGCCTGGTTAACGTTCCCGGTGGATCACAAACACCTCCCTACAAATATTCATTCTTCCCACACTGACTGCGCCTTTTTCAATAACAGTTGACTGTGAAAGAGTGGTGATCGACATCTAAGATGACATTTCCATTACTGAATCTAACCAAATGGCAAACCGGTTTTTCCAAACATTCCAAGTATGTCAGGAAGTAAACATTACGAGTTAATGGGATTTGATAATGGCAAGATGAGGAATGTTTGTGAAAGGATGTTTAGCTGAAAGCAGGCTGTCACCCAGGACTCACTTATCCCGGATTCACATGGAAATCCAGTTCCGAATGAGCTTTCGCCCAGATGAAGTAGCCAACTCATGAACTTCCGAGTTCCGATTTCCGAACACATAATCCCCATTGGTTAGCAGAGAAGGCACGCCTGGTTTCGTGGAATCTTTAGAAAAAGCTCTTCTCCTTCACTAATTTCAGGACGATGTAAGAAAAAAAGGGAGGGGTGGACATCTTCGGGATACGCCATGCATTCCACTTTCTCCGTCCACAACTTTTTACCACGTATTTAGTAATGTTCTGGGACGGCACTTTACTTGAATGCTTCGCCCGCTGGGACAAGCTGGCAGGGCTTAAAGCATGTACCATCTCGCGAAGTTGGCATTCATTTGCTCCGGGTCCTTTCTTAGCGGTTGCGCTGTGTATTATTTCACCCTCACCCTTCTAGCAGACCTTTCCCTACAGGCCAGAGCTTACAAAGTGTAGAGAGATGTTCTTCGAATCAGTACTTATCATTTCCAGCGGAGTTTATCAAGGGGGCGGAGTTTGGCTTGGAGGGGGCATTTTGCACTTTTGCTGACTCCTTATGCTGCTACGTGGTAACCAACGTGTAAATTATTGGGAATCTGCGAAGTTGTACGAGGGAGCCGTTTTCTTTTGAACAACATGCAGGTTTCACAAGGTAGCTTTTGTGCAAGCCTCACTGGGTACCATTTAGTGTCCCTACCAGGTGAAACTGCGCCTAAGTAGCTTGGGGATGAAAGTTGTATTGTTCAGATGGTTTCCTATTTATACATAGGTGTGCTATGTGCTATACGTCTCTTTTTTCTGCCTCGTGGGTACTGTAGCGACGGCTCCACGATTCACGTTACTTGGTGAGTGGAGGGTGGTGGAAATCTGACTGCGTTTTGAACTCAGTGTCCTACACATTTTGCACAAGATCACTGCAGCAACGCGGAAGCACGAGTTCGTGGAAATTCAACGAGGAAAGAAGGTAGACGCTGGCGATTATTGCCCCTAGTGGTGACTAATCACTTAAGAAATATGGCCGCGCAAACGCCTATTTACCTTGACTTGGGCATAATGCGGCTTCAGGAACCACCCAGATGATACGCAGGTCGTTCAAGACGGGGGGGGGTCATTTTCTCTGTTTTGCTCTCCAAAGGAGCCCCATACAGGAAGGAATAGCTCGAAGCGGAAGTGAATGCAGCGGACACCAGCTGGCGTCAGACGACTCCATCGT